TGCAGGAAGTTGAGCATCAAGGGCGATTTAGTGTCAATGTCTGGTGCGGAATAATTGGGGGCCGAATTATCGGTCCATTTATATTTGAACAAAAGCTCAACGGAAATATTTATTTACACTTTTTACAAAACCAACTACAATTTTATTGATTAATTTGAAACTCACGTTTTTAAAAAACACTTTATTTCAAAATTAATACAATATTCTTTATTATGTGGATTTGAATTGTGTGTGACCGAACTGGACCTAACCATAGGCTGTCTATGAACTTTACCTTTAACTTTAACTGAGATTAAACACACCTGACCATAGATTGTCTTTAACTGAATTATCGTTTCTGCCGTGGCTACTTTTATACTTAAATCATGCTGATCATAGCAGAAACGATACTACGTCTTATTTTAATAGTTTAGTCAGCGTAAGTGGCCATATAATTCTACCATTACTGTTGGAACACATACCGGTGCGAAAGCGAGTAACATGTTTCTTCAACAAGATGGGGCTCATTTCTCGGTAAATATCCGTCGATTTTTAAACAAAGCTTATCGTAATAGATAGATAGGACGAGGCAGTTTATTCCCGTGGCTAGGTGACCCGATCTTACGTGTATGGACTTTTACTTGTGAAGGAGAGTAAAAGATATTGTTTTCCAAACTACACCAACTTCCAAACAGGACCTAATAAAAAAAATTAAGAACGCAGTTCATCACATTCCTGTTGCAGAAGTAGAGAGTGCTGTTTTATCTACAAGACAGGCTTGAGCAATCCATTCGAAATGACCGAAAACATTTTGAGCATCTAAGCAGGCTTGAATCCCCAGGGTGCATTTCATTCAAAGAATACTCATAATGGGTTAAATAAAACAATCAGTTCTTCTCAGAACCGATTGTTTTATCAACAACCCCACAATATCATTGTTATTGTCAAATTGCTTATATCTTCGGTTATAACAAATATATCGATGTGTGGTTTTCACTATTTTGCTGATTTTTTATACTTTTTCTAAGCACCTAAAAAACTATTTGTCATTTCACTTAAAAAATTTAAGAAAATCGAAAAAGTTTGACGACTTTTTGTAGCGCGCCCTCTGGCGGCCAAAGTGGTAATCATATCGGCCAATATTTTATAGTAGGTGTTATTGTAAATCAAGAGCTATTCAATTGTAATTTAAGCGTTGAATTTGGTTAAGCCAATACGGAGCCATTAACAACTTTTTGAACCGTTATTTGACTTTCCACCATCACTTGATTTGACTAGCTAGAACAATAATACTCCCACAAGAAATAACTGAAAGTTTGTCAAGAATAGAATTAAGGTATTTGCAACCTACCTTAGCCTGTCCTAAACTGCTAAAAATGCGTATTCAAAATTTACTATTGCAATTTCGCCCTCTTGCGGCCATTTTGCAAACTTGCAAGTTATTTCCAGCTATTTCCTTGAGCCACTTTACTTATATATTTTTTTACTTGAAATCGATACGACTAATAGTTTGTGAGATATGGCCGACCACCTCTCTTAGTGGCCCAATAAGTAAAACCTTTTAAAGGTATAGAAGCAATTATTAAACAGTCTAAACATGGATATGCGCTGATTCTCAAAAAACATACAGTAAAGGGAAAATAATAGCTGATTATAACAATAATATGGAAACACACTGGTCAGCAAAATGCACGTTATACCGGTAAATTTTTCGCAGCTTTCTAACTGGATAAATTCTGAATGCTTCAAGCGATTTATGTGTGAAGCGTTTTTTAGCCCCATTTGCTTTCTATTAGTTACTGCTGTGATAAAAATTAAGCATTTCGGACAAATTTTTTGCAAGATAGCAAATGAAGAAATGCGAAATTTCGCAAAGTTGGGCATGCTTCTAGTCGGAATCAAAATTTTTTTGGATCTCAACACCAAAAGTTCAAAGATAATCCAAATTGTTAGAAACGGGTTTTCAATTTATWGGCCAAMGTCGGCCAACTTTCTATTTTGAGGCTGGTCTCAAAAAATCAACTTTTTTGYCTTGCAGCGATAACTTCTCTGCTCTTGGTCACTGGCATTWGGTTTAGGCAAAAATATTGCGTTTTAAGCAAATTTGTCTTATCCGAAAGTTAATAGATTCCGAGACACAGAGTGTCAACGTGTAAATACAAATTTCGCAATTTTCGGAATAGATTTTTAACCAGTTTTACTAGTACCACAAAAATTTGTCTTTGGGGGTTTTTTAGATCGGCAAATCCAAATTCCCTATTCATTGGCATGTAGTCTTTAGAGGGCGCTAGCTGCAATAATCTGGAGCTATTTAAAACATCAGAACTTTTTTGGCTTTTAATATATCGCTTTTTTGTTGGAAATATCTCGTTCTGCAATATTTCCGAAACTAAGAGTGGGTTCTTGATTCAAGTCGATATCTGTCATCGTTTTCGAGATATTTCACATTGAAACATCTACTCATTTTTTGAACTAGCTCAAATTAGATCCCTAATATTGTCGTAAATTGACTTATATTACTTTAAAGTAATTCTGAACGTGCCTAAATAAATACTGTCTAATGTTTTTTAAGTTTTGTTTAATAGAAAATTTGCGCAAAAAATTCTTTTATTTAGACATCCAATTTGAGATAGATTTCTAATTAGTTCCAAAAATCTCTATATGTTTCAATATGAAAAATCTCGTAAATGGTGATAGATATTGTCTTCAAACAAGTACACGTTATCTTTAAAAAATATCGTGAAATGTGATTTTATCAACCGTATGATGATATTTGAAACGCCAAAAAAGTTCTGATGTCTTAAATGGCTCCAGACTATTGTAGTTAGCGCCCTCTAGAAAGTACAAGCCAACCAATAGGGAACTTGGATTTGCCGATCTAAAAAAACCTCAAACACAAATTTTTGCGGTTCCAGTAAAACAGGTTAAAAATCTATATTTCGCACTTTCGTATAAGACAAATTTGCCTGAAACGCAATATTTTTACCTAAACAATATGTCAATGAACTTTTGGACATTAGTTGAGGACCACCCTGTATAATTTTTTTCTAAAGTCGACTGTGAAGTTTTCGCTTCAACATAAACCCTAGATTTTGAAAATGAGTCCAAAAAACATATCACTGCAAGCCCAAAATGTTAACTTTTTTTAAATATGCGGTCTGAATGCATGTTGAAATACAAAAAAACGCTTTTTCTCTTTAGTGTCTGTTTAAGATTTATCGGACATTTGTTTGCTCTAATTTGTATCTAAATTTTAGATTTATAATTTATTCTACTTTTATGTATTGTCGCGCCATCTAGCTTAAAACACGTTGTTTAGTTATCTGGAACTGCTTTATCGTGCGCATAACGCAAGGGCGGAAGTGACAAAATGCGAGACGGCGTAGGGCGACAGACTGTATTTATTCGTGATGTAGTCATGATCGTAACCGTTTAGTACCGTAAACTAATCTTTGTTCCACTTACAATAAACCTATTTAAACAAAAGTGGTGGTCCTTCAAACCTCAATCTATCCAGTATCAATGATTGATTTACCTACAGACAGACGATTTGAGCCCATATAGAAATCCTTGTGAGTTTTGATGTAGTTTCATTGTTCACAATGGTACCAATCAAGGAGGCAATGGAACTTGTTGCGAGAGAATTTCCACCAGACATCGACAAACTCTTCGAACACTGTCTAACCACAATCTACTTTCAGTGGAACAGCGAATTCTTTGAGCAGACGGATGGAGTAGCAATGGGAAGCCCTCTTAGTCCAGTGATAGCCAACTATTTTATGGAAAAATTTGAGAAGAACGCTCTGGACACAGCCGTGAGGAAACCTAAGTGTTGGTTTCGCT